CAAAATGGGATCATTAGCGCTGAATATGAGAATGTGAAAAATGGAAATATTGGGGAAAATGGTGGTGGATATAGTGGGTAGGAAACCCCAAACAATCCCGACTATTAGCAGATAAAGAATGGTAATTTCCCCAGAAGTAATTAGGATTAGCATAATTTGACGGTGCATGAATGATGCATGGATGATTGATATGTCGATACACGCACTGTAATGAGTCCCTTATCTCCACTCTCCACTGAAGACTTTTGTATGGAGCGTAGCCTGAGGTGCAATCTACTGTAGTTGTAGACCTCCGCGGGGGACTGTGTTAGGGAGAACCCTGCATCATACACACACATTAATACAAGCACAGTCACAGGGGCTACAGTAGAGTAGAAGTAGTGGTAGCATAGCACCATCCTGTAGTGAACTGATTGAAGATGGTCCTTTTATCTTGACAGGCTCCCTGTTACAGCCAGACCAGGAAATATGATATGGCAGCTCATGTTCTCTTTATTCCTCTCAGAGAGACAGTCTGTGTGTCTGTACATACAGTACGTACATGTATGTGTGTCTGTGTCGTTCTGCCATTGTGCTTGTGTGTATATACTCTAAGTATGCTGGAGCCATCTGTGTGCATGTGCATATTAGTGTGCAGCTGTACAGCATTATCAGCCGCCACGCATGTAGTCAGTCACTTTGAGCTGCTTTTAAGTGACAGCTATCGATTGGATGTTTGTGTTGTTGCAGAGGCTTCAAAGCAACGCCTTGCCCTCTGCATCCCACTTGAGAAAGTAACTCTAGAGTACCTGCATTGAATACAGCAGCAGTACAGCATGTCCTTAGCTTCAGAAACACATTCTTCAAGCAAGATCTGTGTGCATCTGTGTAGTTGTGTGTACGTGTTGTTTAAGTGTGTGAGACATGATGTCTTAAATTGAGTGTTCTTCTTGACCCTGCTGCTTCTTCACAACTTAATTGACTTTTTCTTCTGCTCAGTGATGAACCAAGGATCAGTGTAAGATACTGTCAACGCACTTGCACCCACACCCATAGACACAATACCTGGTAATTCTATACACACTTTTTAAGTGTATGTAAACCTAAATTTCAAGGGCCAGTTCACCGAAATGATAAAAACACATTTTCACACATCCACCTCTGATGGTATTTAGCCATACGGATGTATCTGTCCTAAGATTAGCAAGCTAGGCTAACTAGTGTCAAATTTTCCAAGTGGAACTTAAAAGCACAAGGGATCCCTCCAAATACTGAATGTTGAAGGGATAGACTGAGTCTTAATTAAGTCTTAATGGTATATAACCAAAAACTATGTTGGTTTGTTCAAGAAACAGGAAAAACACAGGACTATACAGTTCTAGAACTTGTTCAAGTCAGTAATGCACCATGAAGTTAACAGTGCATCTCCTAACAATGCCGATCCTAAATCTAAATATGTCTTAATATTGTCAGTATAAATGTAGTGTTAAACTAGACTTTACTCTTTAAGCAGTGAGGATAAGCCAGATTGATTTACTTTACTTCAATGGTCTAATACTGAAATCTGATTGTCACAAGACAGAGAAGCTCACGCATAGACGCATATACAAAGACTTCTCCATAACCTCTGCAACCATTCTGCTTGATAAAATATAGGCTTGAGATATCTCTCAATCATTATTCTCTTTTCCTACAAAACAAGCCTTTAACAGTTTTACCCTCTGGCTACAGATCAAACATTCCACATTATAGAATCATTATGCATATATTATCTACAATAACTGCACAATGGACGAGCAAACTGGACCTATTACTTGAGGGAGCTACTAGCTGAGTGTCAGTTCAGTCTTCTTTGGTGCATTGAGCTGACCCCAAATAACCCCCTCCCTCACTCTGACTTTCTTTTGTACACACCCTTTCTCTCGCTCTCTTTCTCTCCGCCTTCCCCTCACTTCGTCCTCCATTCAGAGCCGTCTGAATATAGGTCAGCATTCTCTAAAATCCTCATCCTACTGAAAGTTTGATAAGTGCACTCCAGGTGGTAGTGGGCTGAATATTACATTTGTAATTGGGGGTCCCAAGTATCCACTATTGGAATATTCTGATTATTAAAGAGAATCAGCCATTGCCCAGAGGGCCTCAGTATCATTCTGTGTGGTTCTCTTAATGTGCTGTTAATATGTTCTTAGATATAAAGAGAATTCAATATCTGTTTTTTACTGTTTTTAAAGGGTTTGTTAACCCAAATTCCAAAAAAAGCACTCGGCTCTGGTGGTATCGAGCCACGCAGATAGTTTTGTTTTTCTTTCCCATGTTTGTAGAGATCCATCTCTAAGTTTTTTGCCTTCATCCCAGTGCAACTGAGGTGAATGGAATTTTGTTTGTGGCACTCACAGCATTGAAAATTTGCTTTAGAAAAATTCAACACCAACATGTCTTTCCAGAAACAGTATCCTGGTTATTCTGGATATTCCACCTCATTGTGAACAGAGAACCATGAACATGTAAGAAAATAAAGGGAAAATCCTGAATATAAAATGAATGGAGAAACATAATGAATGCAGACAGCTTAATGAGTATAAAAATGATGTGAATCACATGCTATAGCCTTGGCAGTCACCAGACCTAACTGGAAACCTATTGGACAATTTGGAGAGATGTGGTATAGCTGCCAGACAAACTTTCTTCACTAAGCTGAGTGACATCAGAAATGTACTGGTTTCCCTGTAGGCTCCACAAGTGATTGATTGATTGTATTATTATATTAGTATTAGTATATTATATTAGTATATTAACATATGCCTACAGTGAAATAAAGCTGTAATTATAGCAAAACTGGGGTCTTGCTCATATGTTATAGATACAGTTAGTTTACACTACTTTACACAGCACTCTTCACACAATCATTAAAACATCAAAGTTTTGTGGTGACCTAAAACTGTACAAAGACAATGTTGGTAGTCTGTCACCCATCTGTAGTGCAATGAAAACTGCTCACAGCCTGGTCTTTGGATTATCCACAGTACCAGGGAGACTCTGAAAAGACACATTGCTGTCAGTTTCACCACAGCCAAAATTCAATTCACCTCCTTTGGGAGGAGGCAGAAATCTCAGACAGATATCACAAAACCTGGCCTAAGAAAATCCAAACTATCTGCATGGCTAGATGTCACTGAAGCCAAGAGAGAAAGTATGTTATTTTTGGTTGAACCGACCAAAGTAAAATACATCTTTATAAGCTATTCTTCTCTGAGTCAAGCTTTACTTTCTCTCTGAGTAATTCGCAAATTTATCAGTTTACTAATGTAACAAATGGTTGAATGTGCGATCTACATGCAGCTTCTTTAAAATGTAATCTTTAAAAGAATTTACTTTTTAAAGAAAGGGTACAGTGTTTCTGACTGTCGCCTGTATTGGGACCGGACCTTTCACTCTGGCTCTTCATATTTGCACAATTAAAGACGCACCCCTCTCAGCCCCACTCTAACAGCTGGCCATTAATCAGACCTCGCACTCGATTTCTCTTCCGCCACAGGTTATGATTTTCACATTACTCCACACTCCTTCACCACCATCCCACGGGAAAATGACCTCAACACCACTGCTGCCACCACCGACACACATAGACACACACCTCGAATGTCTTAGAAAGTGAGACGTTTGCATGAAGCAAACCGCACACGGGCCATGCATGGTGAGCAAGGAAGGTGTTCATGTGCGTGTGCATGTGTGTGTGTGCGTGTGTGTGCTCACATGTGTGCCAATATATGATCGTGTGTAACATCTTGGGGTAACCACAGCAGCAAGTTTCCCCCCCACCTCACACCCATTATCCTTTTCTAATTACACTTTCCTTCTGAAACAGTGGATCAGAGGGCGCCATTGACTGCTTTTAATCTGCCACCAAATTTTAATTAACACAGACGTGACCCCCGTCTCCGATACATCCCGGAGAACGTCGGGATCACAATAACTCATAAATCACAGCCACAGATTTCATTCCCTCCGCTTTCCTCTGGTGATGAATTTCCAGATGGGGGCTGGTGGCTGTTAATGTCGGGAAAAATATGAGAGAGAGAGTGTTAGAGACAGAGAGGGACAGAGGAAGACAATAACAAGATGGACCGAATGTATGGACCGTTATGTTTAAGAGAAATATAATTGAGGGTTTATGTGTATGTAGCAGAGATGGAGTTGAAGAAAGAGAGAGAAATGGAAGTATCTCTGCTATGATGTCAACCTTTGAGAGATTTGTTACCGGGGAGAGGATTATGGAGGCTGTGAAATGTGGTTGTGTTAATATACCGAGTGCTGAGGAACACGATACAGGGCCAGCCAACTTCATAGTCTGTAAAAATCAAAAGGCTGAACAAGTAAAAACTGAAAATGACTCTGATGTTCTGAAGAATTAATCCTCACCTCTCTTTGTGTATGTGAGTGTGTACATGTGTGTATAATTTCTTTAATCATGGACTTTCAATCATGGACTTTTCATAAATTATCATCACATGAATTATTCTACTTGGTGAGATTAATGCATATGAGTTGTCATTAAACTACAAACTACAAATAAGAATTGCAGCAGTGATGGTCTGTATTCTTGATTTGCACGCTACTCAGTGCTTGTGTGTTTTTGTTTGTGTGTTTGCAGAAACGTGTGTGTGTGTGTGTGTGTGTGTGTGCGTGTGTGTGCGTGTGTGCGCATATACATACATGCGTGTGTGTCTGTGAGTGGAGGTGGAGGTGGGCAGGGTGCCGGGGTTTGTTATTACTAAATCGCTCATCCATGCTACTAATTAAGATGCATAGCATCCCCCTATGAACGTCAGTGTCGCTAATTATCAAACAATGTAGTGCTCACCAGATATGAGAACTGGCAGCCTCTGTAGTCATGTTACCAACCTATTACTGCTACAATTACCAAGTGCCTGTCAGTCTCCTTGTTAGTCATCTGCCTTCATTTTTTCTTTACTAATGCCTGTCTTTTTTCTTTATACCCCCCCGCCCCCTTCTCTCTCCAGGCTATGGCTTTGTGGATTTTGACAGCCCAGCTGCAGCACAGAAGGCCGTGTCGTCTCTCAAAGCCACCGGGGTGCAGGCCCAAATGGCCAAGGTAAGGAGTGTTTAAAAACAAGTTAGCATTGCCACCTCCTTTTGTTTTATCATTAGCAGTTTGCTGAGCATTCGGTTCCCTCCAGGGATTTAATATTGTGCACTTAACACACTTAATAGATGTTGATGGATCTGAAAGCTCCTAAATACAAACTGGTTTTTGCCCATAAACACAGTTTTATAGAAAGTAATTTTCCGCACTGCTTTGCCATTTAATGACAAAGTTCTTCCTTCTAATATAAGAAGACTTTTAACTACATTTGTGTATCGTTATATGACAAGTTGTGGTGAATGTAGGTCTGTTTTATCTTAGGGACACTCTGTGACAGGGCAAAGCTGTAGTTTCATACTATCCAGTATGAACACTTTGCTAAGTGGTCATGTGGACTTAGTCATGTGTAAGAGGATGTGTGTGTGTGTGTGTGTGTGTGTGTGTGTGTGTGTGTGTGTGTGTGTGTGTGTGTGTGTGTGTGTTTGTGTGCTGTAATATTCTGCTGCAAACTAACTTGATTGCCAGTGTGTGAGCTGGCCCTGCAGTAATTGAAGTTTGACCAGCCACTCGTCCTACGTTGTGCAGTGTTATTAGCCTGCTAAAGTGGAAGCAGATGAGACAAGCTGTTTCAGCAGTACAAAGAGGGCCCTAGTGAGTTGCACAATGGAGCCAGGTTGACAGATATAGACACACATGAGAGGTATGGCTTAGAGTAAAAAACGCACAAGCAGGGTATGTACTTATTCACCCTTAGAGCCTTGTATTGTTACATACATATTACATATTTGGCAATCTGTCAGTTTGAGCAGATTGTCCACTGGCTAACTGGCTCATTAGCTGTACCCCAAAAGAGATGTGGTGCCAGAACAAGAACATCAGTGTTATTGTTTAGTTTATGTCAATTCCTCAGTCCAGGCCAGCAGTGATCATGCTGTCCATTTCTCATTCTTCTTTCCTAAATTTTTCATTTCTTTGCTGACTAAAGAGAGAATCCTCATAGACTAAAACACAGCAGGACCCCATCCCCGGACATCTGTGATAGACGGCAAAAACTGGGCTATTTTTATACCACCCGATTTGCTGGTGTCAGAATATCTAAATAGGTGAACAAAATGTCAGTAGCATTAAAGCAATGAATATGGTGATTACTATGAGGGTACACTATGAGTGATTTTCTCAGACGAGATGGTCCGCATTTGATCTGATCCAGAAATCCCCCCCTTGAAGCCAAAGAAGCCCTGATGAGATGGAGAATGGCGATGGCGCCAGTGAAGATGACAGAATTGATGATAACGATGAAGGTGGCAATTATTTTGATCAAATGGGATGAGATCTGACAGGAGGAGATGATATTCCGTGCGGTGCTCAGGTGTGCCATTTCTCAAATGCACCATTTGGCCGTTTCCTCTCCCCACCAGTGTCCTTCTTCCAATATTTATAAGAGTGCAGGCTCTCGGAATACAGATAAGAAGCCGTGCTCTTTGCCCCGTCTCATTTTAAGACCACACTTTGCATTGCTCCCCTTTTCTCAGTCAATATTTTCATGAGAGAGGTCTTGTGTCCCGAAACAAAAGAGCTGACCTTTTTAAGAATGTTTGTTTGCATATGTGTGTGTGGGCACATTCACAAAATCATTTTCTATTAGCATTTGTGTATAATAGTTTGTTTTTGAATGTCCCCTTGTTCTGTTCACACAAATGGAAAGGCCAGCATTCTGTGCTGCAGTTCTGCCCTTTTATCACACTTGTGAGAGACATTAAGGAGTGGTTTGCTTTTATAGACTCCCGCTGCATCTCTCTAATGTCTCTTTACCAGGTATCACTACCATCACTCTGTCGGCTCCTCCTCCTCCACATCACTTCCTCTTCTCTCTAACCCCCATCTCTTTCGCTTAATGCTGTTTTCTCTTGCCATCTTTTCTTCTCTGTACATACATACTCACACATTCATAAACACATTTGTATTCACACCCACCATGTGTTCCCCTGCCAAACATCCAATGAGTGCAATTTATTCCCATCAATAATTAACAGCAGGCTGTCTTTGTGTCTGCCTACCTGCCAAGGTGTCTCTGACACCCTCCGCTCCGTCATGGCGGAGCAGCCTTCCCTTGGCGAGTCCGCATGAAAAACCCAGGTGCACACTGAGGAAGGTGTAAATCACAAAGACGATTGGTAACGCCAGAGACGACTTTCACAATAAGAGCATTCAGCCTCATTCTCTCACTCCCCCTGCTGCATTTTGTCACATATATCTCTCCACAACAAAGTAATAAACGGATAGCAAGCCAGAGCCAGAGGCTTTGAGCTCATTAAATAAAACCGTCACAGTAATCAAGTTGTGCCTTTTTTCCTGCCTTGACGCCATTAAAACGCTTTTATTAAGGTGCCTTATTTTAAACACAGCTGCAAAAGAGGCAAGAAGAGAGAAACAGGGAAAAGGGAAGCGTCATTTGATTTCCTCCTCTTCCTCCAATGTAACAGCCTGCTGTCTCTCTCCTCTTACTCCCCTCGGAATTTGAAATACCAAGGCAGCAGAGATGAAACATTCCTTTCCTTTTGTCTTGCCCTCCCCTGGGGATGGTGACAGCAAGAGGGAGGAGAGGAGCCATAATTAAGACACCTAAAGGACACTTCCCCCCTGCACCTCCCTTCCTGTCACTCACCTCTACACAAGTCACAGATAAGAACACTTAGCATAGGTGTGGAGTATGTGTGTGTATTTTAGTGTACATCTGTATGTGTGCAAGTTTGTGCGTGAATTTGACGGTATATGTGTGTGAGCCTGTGCTTGTGCAGATATCCTTATTTGTGTGCTTGTATACACATAGCATTTCATTATTTTTGTGTGCAGTCACACAGTTAAATACACATGTTTTGTGTGTATTTTCAGGTACCTGCTTGTCTTGATGTATACAAATACATCAGAACGTGTCTTTTGTATGTTTGTATTTGAGCATATTAATCTGTTGAGGATTCTGAGGAATCATAACGTGACAGTATGATCACATTGAGCTATCATTTTAAAAATAGTAATAATAAAATAAGATTTTTTTAATATTTATGAGTGATGTATGTAAGAGTTTTCAGTTATAGTCTAGCCCTCAAGAATTGTTTGACGGTGAAGGTGATTAGCCTAGCTTAGCATAAAGACTGGAAGCAGGGGGAAACAGCTAGCCTGTTTTGGTTCAATAATATCTATACAAATGAAAGACATATGTTTATTAGAAGCTAGCTGTTCTCCCTCTTCATACAGTAGTCTTTATGCTAAGCTAAGCTAATCACCTCTCAGCTTTAGTTCTGTACTGTAAAATAATCATAATCCATGCATTTAATAAAAGTTTGGTCAATCATAAGAGTATATCAATAATCACTTACAATAGAACATACCACTAATTATTATTCCTGCCTCTTACGTGTGTATGCACGCATGTGTTTGTGTGTGAGAGAGAGATATTGAGTGCAGGCACGTATTTGCCTCCTCACACCGTGGACTCTATTCTCTGTGTCACTTTGTTCAGGTAGCTTTCCGAACTGTGAAAACTGACACGTTGAGCAGACAGAATGATAACAGGTAAACGGCGCGTCTAGCTCCGCAGATGCAAACCTGTCAACCAGCCGCTGGCCTCACTCTCCACAGGCTGCCATTTTCCCCTTGAGCCAATCAGACTGAATTATGGGAAGGGCACCCTCGATTGTGGTGTCTGTGTCGGAGAGGTAATTCCGCCTGACAGCTGCTTGCTTTCAGACAACAGCCAGTCTTTATGGAAATCATCCCTCCCTCTTCTCGCTGCAGTCGGCTTCTGCTGATAACGGCCCGAATGAAAACAAAGCTGTCCTTTTCTGCTTTCTTTTTTTTTCTTTTTCCTCTCAGTATGGACAGCCCAGAATTAGCTAAACGTAACACATATGGAGTCAGACAAAGTACACCCTGCTTTGAAGTTATACATCCTTAGGGCCAATATAAACTTAAAGCGGACATTTGCTGTCTTTGGATCTGACCAGATCTCGTGAAGATGCATGTGAATTTTTGTTATTTCCATTTGTTTTATCCTTCAAAGGGAAAATTCCTCTCTGGTTTCTATTTTTGAATCCTGGCATGTCAAATATGGTTTTCTTCCACAATAATACCTTTTTTTTAAAGAGAAGAAAATGAACAAATTTCACACTTCAAAATATTATATAAATAATCTTTTGTCACTAAGGTGTCAAACAAAGCAATGGTTTTGGATTTTCTGAGAGTTTTGAGACCAATGTCCTGGTTTAAGCAGTGAGGGTGAAGCCTGTGGCGCAGTGTGCCTCCATCACTACCCTCGATCCAATAACCAATATTTATAAGGTTCACAGAAGCTACAGGCAGACAGAAAGACGCTGCTTGCCCTTCACTTCACATTACAGTGGGGAAATTATGCTAAAAGCATCATTAAAGTGCCTCCACGAAGTGAATCCCAAATGTTTATGATAACACAGTGCTCGCACCGGCCCATCAACCAGTATTCACCAGCGGATGCTTCAGATGGTTTAACGGTGTGAAACGAACCAGAGTTTTCAGTCCTCTTCCGCTCTCTCTCTCTCATTTATGCTCACTCCCTTTCACTTGGTCTGTCTCTTCTGCTGTCTTTTCCTTTCTCTCTCTTGGGGAAGATTTCCTGTCAATATCACATTTATATTCATGTGAAAAGCACAGATCCCCCCTCTGGGTGGTCTGCAGTCAGTCAGCAGTCTTCTTATTATCCTTTAAAGGTGACTCCTCTGACGTCTTAGCTCCGTTGACACCCGGGACCCCACGGTTCGGCTCAACACAGGGTGACCTCTGGGCGTTAATCAAAGGGATGGCTGACAGTGCTGTTACAGTTGGTTGCTGACAACAGCTAGCCTAGCGAAGCCTGTCTTTTCCCGCAAGAATGGGTTAAATCTGGGGAGAATGTAAGGGGAAATACGTTGTATTGTGAATACTGCAAGATAATTGGGCATCACTCACCTCTCCGCTCGATGTGCGCCACCTTAATG